GCCTTAAAAAGGAGTTAAACTGTTAAACAAAGTTTAAAAACAAAAATTCGAAAGTTTCTTTCAATTCTATATTTCTGTGGGTCCACATCTGTATTATGGAGTTGCTTGAACCATATACTTTTACCACATTTTAACACTTAGGGGATTCACTAACTGTTGGGTCTCCAAGAAAGTCAGTGCACCTACTCTTTTACACAAACATTTTGGTAGTCACATTTAGATGCACTAGGATTTTCAGAGAGTTTACTTTTTTGTAACACTTTCTTAGTTTACATTGCCTTCTTGAGCCAGTCTGGGGTGATTCTGTTGATTCTTTACATTAATATCCATTTTTTACTATTACCTTTTTAAAGCATGGCATAGAAGACTTTGCCCCTGATTTCTTTTTCACAGCCTTGTAACCATAAATAAAAAAAATAAAGAAAACTGATCAGTAAAATCTGAAATTATTCTTCTAAAAGAAAATATATAAGACAAGTCTTTGTTCTTTAGGTAAAGATTTCTTAGGTATGAAATCAAAGGCTTGATCCATAAAATAACAAATTGATAGACTAGGTTTTATCGAAGTTAAAAACATCTCTTCTTCAAAAGTTATCATTAGGATAATAAAGAGACAAGCTGAGAAAGAGAGAAAATATTTGGAAAACACCTCTATAATAAGAAATTTTATCCAAAATGTGTAAATAATTCTCAAAAGTCAAAAATAAGAAAAAAACAATTAAAAATAGGCAAAGACACTTTACCAAATAAGATAGAGAAAATAAGCACATGAAAATATACTGAACTCAAATCTTTGTCAAGATGCACATTTATAGAATGACTAATTGTGACATATGTGTGTGTGTGTATACATATATATGTATACATACATACATATATTTGGTCTCTGCCTCTGATTCTTGACACATAGCTCCTTAACTTCTTGTAATTTTGTGAGTGATAGGAGTGCTAGAGCATCTTTTGTTTTAACATATGGTCTTTGCTCCTGAGACAAATCTCCTACATCCCTTGGAATTTCCTGAGTAATAGAAGCATCATTTGGTCTAATGAGGCAACTCTTGGTGGCTTCCTAGAGGGCTTCAGGATGGGGGCTGGTCACCAGAAAGACCAAGTCATGATTACAAAAGAGAAGTCCAAGTAAAATGAAAGTATGTCTGCCAAATAAAGGGAAGTTTCATTGAAGAAGAGACAATGAGTCAAGCTCCGAAGAGTAATAGAAATTAACTAGGCAAAGTAAGGAAAAAGCATTATAGTCAGAGGGAATGACATGCATATGTAAATGGCCTGACGTAGCATATATCAGGAACTGAGAGCATAAAAAATCTATCCTATCTTAATTCTCACAAGTCAAGATAAAAAAAATTATAGTCCAATATCCCTGGTGAAGATGTTGCAAAAATTCTCAACAATATATTGCTCAAATCAAATTCAGCAATATATTAAAAAGATCATATACTATGATCAAATGGGATTTATTCCTGGGATACAAGGTTGATTTAATATCCTCAAATCAATTAACATAATATACCACATAAACAAAACGAAGGATAAAAATCATATGCTCATATCAATAGATGCAGCAAAACATCTGACAAAATCCAACATCCACTTAATGATTTAAAAAAAACTCAGCAAAGTGGGAACAGAGGAAACATATCTCAACATAATAAAGGCCATGTATGACAAAATCACAGCTAACATAATAACAGTGAAAAGCTAAAAGCTTTTTCTTTAAGATCAGGAACAAGACAAGGATGTCTACTTTCATCACTTTTATTCAACATAGTATTGAAAGTCCTAGCCACAGCAATAAGAGAAGAAAAACAAAAGGCATTCAAATTAGAAATGAAAGAGTAAAACTGTCATTATTTGCAGATGACATGATACACATATAGAGGGAGAACTCTAAAGACCCAACCAAAAAACCTATTAAGACTAATAAATGAATTCAGTAAAGTAGGATACATAATTAATATTCAGAAATTGGTTGCATTTTTATATAGCAGTAACAAATTATCAGAAGAGGAATTAAGAAAAAAATCCAATTTACAATTGCATCAAAAAGAATAAAATACCTGGGAATAAATCTAACCAAGGAGTTAAAACACCTATACTTAGAAAACTGTAAGACCATGAAGAAAGAAATTGAAGAAGATGCAAATAAATAATAGCATATACCATAATAATGGGTAGGAAGAATTAACATCATTAAAAATGCCTATACTACCCAAAGCGATCTACAGATTCAATGCAATCCCTATCAATATGGCAATGGCATTTTTCACAGAACTAGAACAAATAATCTTAAAATTGTGTATGGAACTACCAAAGACCCTGAACAGCCAAAGCAATCCTTGGAAAGAATAAAATTAGAGGTATCACACCAACAAATATCAAACTAAACTGTAAGGCTGTGGCAATCAAAACAGCATGGTACTGGCATGAAAATAGACACATAGATCAATGGAACAGAATAGAGAGCCCGGAAATAAACTCACGCCTATAAGGTCAATTAATCTATGACAAAGAAGGCAAGAATATACAATGGGGTAAAGACAGTCTCTTCAATAAATGGTGTTAAGAAACTTAGACAGATACATGCAAAAAATGAATCTAGACTACTTTCTTATACCATATACAAAAATAAACTCAAAACAGATTAAAGACTTAAATATAAGACCTGGAACCATAAAATCCTAGTAGAAAATATAGGCAGTAACCTCTTTGACATTATTCTTAGCAATATTCATTTGGATATGTCTCCTCAGGCAAGGAAAACAAAAGAAAAATAAATGAGATTATACCAAACCAAAAAGTTTTTGCATGCTAAAAAAAATCATTAACAAATGAAAATACAACCTACTGAATGGAAGAAGATATTTGCCAATGATACATCTGATAAGGGGTTAATATCCAAAACACATAAGGAACTCACACAAGTCAACATCAAAAAACAAACAATATTATTAAAAAATGGGCAGAGAACCTGAATAGACATTTCTCCAAAGAGAACATAGATAGCCAATAGACATATGAAAAGATGCTCAAAATCACTAATTGTCAGGGAAATGCAAATTAAAACCACTATGAGATATCACCTCACACATTTTATTGATGGTTACCATCAGTAAAATAAATCAACAAACAATAAATGTTGGTGAGGATATGGAGAAAAGAGAACCCCATACACTGTTAATGGTATTGTAAATTGGTGCAGCCACTATTAAAAAGTTTGGAGGTTCCACAAAAAAATAAAAATAGAACTACCATATGACCTACCAATTCCAATTCTCTGTATTTATCTAAGGATACCTAAAATACTAATTTGAAAATAAATCTTCACCTCTATTTTCACTGCAGCACTATTTACAATAGTCAAGATAAAGAAGCAACCTAAGTGCCCATCAATAGACAATTGGATAAAGAAGTGGTATTTATATGGAATGAAGCATTACTGAGCCATAAAAAAAAAAAATGAATTCCTGCCATTTGTGACAACATGGATGGATCTAGACGGTACTATGCTTAGTGAAATAAGTCAAAGACAAATACCATATGATTTCAATTATATGGGAAATTAAAAAAAAAATAAATGAACAACAAAACAGAAACAAACTCATAGATACAGAAAACAAATTGATGGTTGCCACATGTCAGGGGGGTTGGGGTGATGGGTGAAAAAGGTGAAAGGGATTAAGAAGTACAAATTGCCAGTTCATGGAGATAGAAAGTACAGCATAAGGAATATAGTTAGTAATATTGTAATAAGTGCATGGTGCCAGGCGGGTACTAGACTTATCGGGTGATCACTTCAAAAAGTGTATAAATGTCTAATCATTATGTTGTATACTTTACACCAATAATATTGAATGTCAACTGTAATGAAAAAATAAATTAAAAAAAAGAGGAAGGCACAGCATCCTGAATCAGGGAGGGAGAGCACTATAGCCTGTAGTGAGCTTAAATGTAAAGTGAGCACACAAAGGCAAATAGGAGTGTGGCAGGTATTAAAAATATCTCTTCAATGAAGAAGAAGAGGGTGGTAGATAAGACTATTTCCCTGCCTGTCATAGGTAGTAAGCACTCCAGGATATTTAATGGCTTACTATGATTTGTCTTAAACAAAGCCAGTCACTAGTGAAAGTGGAAGGACAGATTTCAATCAAATATACAGTATTGCAATAGGGAAAAGAGTCCAGCATGAACTTTCGATCTGTAGAGAGGCGATTGGGCCTTTTAAAGCGATAATGAATGAATAGTAAGGGAGAGAATGGGGCTCAGTAGTAAGGGAAGTAATAAATTATAAAAAACAGGAAGGTGGGGTTAGGCCATGTGAAACCCATTTGGGTTTGTTAACTGGTGCTTATTGAAGCTCCATCCACTCACAGAAACTAGGAGACAGAGAGACCCAGTCTGTGTTGGCTGGAACAAGCTGTACATTTTTTTGGCAGCTTTGTTTTCTGAGGCAAGCACTTTAAGGGGGGGCTACAGTCTACATAAGGATGTGGCCTAGAGTTGTTAGAAACTATTTTTGCATTTCATTCAAGTCTTTATAGGTCAAGGTTGAGGCCTAGTTGAGAAAAGGGCATAGAGAAGCCTGGCTAGAGTTTGGTCAAGTACAAAATCTTTGTCAGACAAAAGCACAATAAGGTTCAGCAATATACAACCAGCTAGTCTTATGGATATGACTTTCATAATGTTGTTAAGTTCAAAATGTAATAAGTACATGTATCGAGATTAGACTTTACTAGGTTATTTCTAAATGTCTCTACTACCTCTTCTACTATATTACAAATGTGATATAAACTGACTATATAATGATAGCTGTTATTGGGCACTCACTGTGTGATATGTACTGTATTAAAGCCTTAGATTATTTATTAGTTAATTTCTTCTTCATGAATACCCTATAGAGTCAGTATTATATTCCTTCTTCTACAGCTATTGAAAAGTAGGCTGAGAGAGGAGTTAAGGGCATGAAGAAAAAATGTGGCACAGAACCCTTTTCAAATATGAAATTTATTAATAATGACAGTCTCTCCCTTTTCCCCATGCTTGGCCAATCCTTGCTCTAGTCTTAAATGCTTAAAGCGGGTAGGGAATATATATAAACAGTCTTCTAGTCTTATTTTTCCCTCTCATTCTCTCCTCTCCATCCCTAATTTTCTTTGCTGACATCCTGATTTAGCATTCCAGAGCACCCTACTCCAAGTTACAGCACTGATACTGCCTCCCCTGTGTTAACTTAGTCTTGGGTTCCCTCTTTTTGGTCTGATCAGTTGCCCATTCCACCATAAGCTAACACTTATTTAGTGCTTACTTTGGGCCAGGCATGAAGTTCTACATACTTTACATGAATTAATTCTCACAACCACCTATGAGGGAGGTACTAATATCATTCCCAGTTTACAGGAAAGTGAGGCCCAGAAGTGTTTAGGAACTTGCCCAACATTTGCACTAATCAAGTATCAAAAATGGAATTTTAATTCAGAATTCTCTCTCTGAAGTCTGGACAATAATCATTAATTACAAGCAAAGAAGATGATTATTTTTAAAGAGGATTGGTAAAGGAGGTGGTATTTAAGCTGGGTCTTAAAAGATGGGTAAAAATTTAACAGGGAAATATAGAGAACTGGTGAGGAAATGAAGTGCATAAAGGCAAAAATGATTGGAAAATGTAAGATAATCATGTAGAACAGTAAATGCTAAGGTTTGGCTAAAATGCTGCAGAGTAATAATCTTGTAGCTCATTGGGCCGATGCTTAAATCTTAAAAGAGGTAGATTTGCAGTCCCTTTCTTTGGAGAGTCTGACTCAGTGGGTCAGCATGTAGGGCCTATGGCCTGGGAACGTCTTCTCAACAAGCTCTTCAGGTGATTCTGATGTGCAGAAAGGTATGCGTAACCAGTGTGGTAGAAAACAAAAAGGGTCCAATACGGAATAGAACTGTAAACTTAAGTTATACCCAGATCATTAAAGGGCTTTTTGCCAAACTAAGATATTTGGACTTTCTTAGCCAATAAGATCTCACTGAAATTTTCTGCTTTAATTAAAATTTTATGTTTTTAGAATATGTAACGCACATATGAAGGACAAAATTTAAGAGACCACCAAAAGGAATTCGGTCTCTTTTCTACCTCTGGCCACTTAAGTCTCAGTCTCTCTTAGTCATTCTAGATTTTTAAAAAGAAAAATTACATCATGAGATTGTGCATGGGGAAAATAAACAAGACAGAAATACATAGGATGATATAGTAGGCAAGGATGACCTCAATCAGACTGGTAAAAGTGGAAATGCTTTTGGCCTGAGTATTCCTATTCTATGGTACAGACAATTCTTATGGATACGATTCCCCTTGAAGTGATCAATGAAAATTAGGTTTTCATAAAGCTTGGATTTAGAGTAGGGCCTATTCAGTGCAAATTATGAAAACACTGTGACACTACGGTGTGAGGAAAGAGTAAAGATAGGAAATATATAAAATGGAATTGCTTTAACAAAGCTGCTAAAATTAACATTAAGTTGAGTCATGAGGAAACAATTCTATTCTTGTTCTAACTAGCCTGAGAACTTGTAAATTTTCTAGTCCTGCACCAATGCCTGGATATTAGTTCTTTGTGTGTCAATACCTGGATATACATCGGATCTCCAAACAACCCTCTGATTACCCACTGAAGAACTCATATAACCAGATCACTTGACGTCCATGTAACATCTACTCTCCAGACCAATGGATGTGACCAGACTTCCTGGCACCTATCTTTCAGACAACTTGGCATCTACCATCAAGACTGCCTGACATATAACTGATAACCATCCTGAACCAATTCTAGGGCTAAGAATGAAGGACTGATTATTCTCAAGAATGCATTTTTAACAATAAGAACCCTTTAACTTTTCCTTCTTCTTTGGAACACCAATGTGTTTTTGCCTGTGTTTCCAGTTTGCGAACTCCAAGACCTTTAAATAAGTCTTTATCATTTATTTCTAGCAAAGCCTCCAGACTCTTTAGAGTTTGTTCAAGTGGCTGATCATACAAAATGAGAATACTCTATAACCATGCTGCTCTTCTTTATCCCTAGTATCCCATTTTAAAATTGACTATAAACTTCACAATAGGTATAAATATGAGGAAAATCAGTTATTGGCATTTCTAATCAAGTGCTTCAATTATTTGGAAGAGATGACTCTGAGAGGCAGGTGATTTGTCTTAGGTGCTCAAGCTTCTTTTGGAATCCTTTACTGTAACGCCCCTCGCTCCAAAGATGTTTTCATCCTAATCCCTGGAACCTGTGAAAATTAAGGTTGCAGGTGGAATTAAGGTTACTAATCAGCTGATTTTGAGACAGATTATCTAGATTATCATGATGCACTCAATGTAATCATAAGGATGATTATGATTACAATATAAATGGAAGAGGGAGGCAAGAGAAAGAATGAGAGATGGCAACACAACTCATCCAGCTGTCACTGGCTTTGAAGATGAAGGAAATGGCAACAAGCCAAGTAATGTGGGTGGCATTGAGAAGCCGTAAAAGGCAAGGAAATGGACTCTTCCCTGGAGTGGATCCCTTGACTTCAGCTCTTTGAGACGTATTATCTGACTTTCCATCTATGGAACTGTTAGATAATAAATTTGTGTTTTAAACTACTGTTTGACATAGTCATAGCAGCAATAGGAAACTAGTGTACCTTTCCTGCTATCTCCTGCCCTCTCCCTTCAAGTCCCAGGCACCACCTCCTGTTCTCAAAAAGAGCAGGTACTCTTCCCCTGCTCTCAAGGATTCCATTTACATCTTAGTACGTGTTGATTTACCACTCATACTTGCATTTTAAGCCCTCTAAATGTCTAATAGATTCTATGTAAAGAATGTTTACTTTGTTAAAGAAATTTTGGAATAAACAAGCAGGCGGAAAACAGTTTTGGCAAGAATGATCAGTTTCCTCTAAATCACTTGCAGCTCAAAATCTATTTATTCAGCACATGATCAACCTTGACCTCAATGAATGGTATTTTTCAAGGCTTAGAAATCCCATCTTTTTCCTCTTTCCTTCTGATGACCTCTTTTTTCCTGAGATAAAATGAGCTGTATTGATTACTTATGAATATCCTGTGCCAGCCTTCTCTAATTACACACACCAAAAGGACTTGGTTAATGTTTTACTTGGTAATGTTCCTTGTTAAGAATTAATTTTTATAGGCTAAAGACAAGTGTCATCTTGTATTACACTGGGAGGAGGAACTTCGGAATACTGCCTGTGTCAAAAAGGGGAAGTGAATTTACCAGGTTTTAATTTTCTTATCTCTAGTATGCATTACAGCTGGAAGTAGCTTGGGTTGGCCAAAATCTAGCACTGAAGAGTTCAGGATTTTCTCCCACTGTACTGGGACAATAATATTTCACAAAGTTTTCCTCCTCAATCTGTACTACTACGTTGATTTTTTTTTCTTTTCTCAGCAACTTTTCAAATAGTATCCTTGACAGCGGTTTCCAGTGTGACACATTCCTAAGTAGGATGAAAGATCATTGTTTGGATTTCGTTTTTCCTGAATGTAAAGAGGTTTATTCTTAGGCTAAAAGCTCTGCCTTTCTAAGGGACTACTCCGCCTTACGATCACAGTATGTTCTGAATACATATAAATGGGATCCTAACTTACAACAGGTGACTGCTTTACAGGCCAGAAACGTTCCTCTTACTGGGAAGCCTCAGGTTTCCAGTTGGATGAAAATTAAACTCTCCCCCTTTTATAAGCAGGGGTTTGCTTGTTACCAAAAAGGTTTCATCTCCTCTATCGCATCTCCAGTTGAAAACTATGGCTGTTTCTCCGCGACGCGCGGTAACCAGGGACGTAGCAGCAGGCTGGGAATAAGGCCGGCCAGTCGGGGCTTCTGAGATCTCGCGTCCAGCCGGGAACCCCGAACCTAGAAGTGTTTCACAGGACGGAGGACACAGCAGGGGCGCGGGAGTGGG